TCACGATTATTCTTTTTAAAGCTCTTCGGTCGGCATTTGTGATATAACTTTTTTTCACATATCGTGGCTTAATATTAACTGAACAATATTTCTCACACTGTACCGCGATAAGTCTAACAAAGTTGCAATTTCTGAGTTTGATTTCCCAGAATTAAAAAATTTAATTATCAGTAACTGAATTTTCTCACTAATAACCTTTCCTCTACCCATTTTGAAAACCTTAACTACCCAAAACTATTTTAAACGTATTCTGACAGCTGTGATTAATAAAAACAATTGTCATGGCTTTTATCTTTCGCAGCCACCTATGCGTTATAGACTTATTTTGCATTGAAATGAAAATAGGTTGATATGCTGTTATTTTTATGCTACAAATTTGATTAGGGAGTGATAAAGTTGGTGTTTTCTACTGTATATTATCAAAATATTCATTGTTAATATTTTAAACCTATAACACCCTGCTACATTTTTATTATTTGTGTTTGATAAGAAAAAACTAAGATGTCAATACTTGGGCCAACTGAAGTGGGAAGGAGATCGTAGATACTAAACGCAGATTTAAGTTTCCATTTATGGTACTTTCTTGTATTATTATGCTAAGCCTAACTAGACTTAAGAAAAGGTTATATTCAATAGCATGAAGGCGGATTCAGCGGCTCCATTGGGTAATTTATCTACTTCATCTCCACGGCTTTCAGTACATTTGAATCCTCATTGTTTTCGCATGTTTGTAGTCGTGACATGCACATAATCACTGTTTGTTTTCTTGCATGAATTCAAAGAGGTCACACATGTACATATATTCAGCGGCGCGGTTTATCGCTGGGTGTGCCTGCTTTCTATAGTTACTATTGATGTATACTAAGTGACATATAAATCCGAACACCCAGTTTAAATGGTTTTATTTTAATAAAATTTTGTATAAGTACTTAATAGCATAATAAGTAATTGATAAAAATTTCAAAATGATTGCACTGCTTTAGAGCCCTTTGACCTTTAATAATGTGTGGATGCACCCTGATGTGCTACGCATTCTCCAACGCGCCTAGGCATGCTTCTGATCAGGTGGTCAATGTCCTCCTGTAGTATCTCATTCCAGGCAACCACCAACTCCTCTCGAAGTGCTTCTAGAGCCTGAGGAGGACGTTGCAAATTGAGCAATCTCCTACCCATCATATCCCACACGTGCTCAATTGGGGATAAGTCGGGAGATCTTGGTGGCCATGGTAACAATGTGACATCATTATGTTGAAAGAAGTCTATTGTGACTCTCGCAACATGTGGTCGGGCATTATCTTGTTGGAAAGTTGGATCCGCCAGGGTGTCAAGATAGGGTAAACGATGGGGTTCTAGAACTTCGTGGATATAACTCTGCGCGTTCATGTTACCTCTGATGAAGATTAAAGGTGACCTGGAACCATAATCTATAGCACCCCAAACCATAACTCCAACAGTGTGATGAACATGTCTTTCAACAAAAAACTGTGGATTCCTCCTTTCACCACGTCGCCTTCTAACCCTGGCACGACCATCGTGCATGCCTAAACAAAATCGAGACTCGTCACTGAAGACAATACTGTTCCATTCCTGATCCCAGAGTGACCGTTGTCTGCACCACTCAAGGCGATTACGTCGGTGTTCTCGAGTTAAAGGGAGGACCCAGTGTGGCCGGTATGAAAACAAGCCAAAACTTCTCATTCGTCGGTAAACACTTCGCATGCCAATAGGTCTTCCGTGTTCTGCAAACCATTCATTTGCAATGGACCTGGTAGTGGAGAAACGGTCCCTTAAGGCCAATAATCTTAGGCGGCGATCTTCACGGTCTGTTGTTCTACGGCGGCGTCCAGTGCCCCTTGCTCCTTGCGTACGGCCTTCTCGAAGCCGTGCCTGACAACACCTAACCACAGTGTCTACACTTCTTTGCACTCTAACTGCAATTGCCCGAAAAGAAAGTCCAGCTTCCCGAAGCCCCACTATACGGCCCCTATCAAACTCACTAAGTTGACGAAATCGTACAGGTCTCCGTACTCTAGGCATCGTAACCGATCGTAAAGGATGTCAAGAACCAAAATCCGCCAACGTTGATTCTTTACTGCGGCTGAAATATTCATGTTTAGAGCATTAGTGAATTAAAAAAAAGCAGTATAAAAACCGGAATGTCCAACTGATAAGGCTGAAAATTTTTTCACTTGTTATTTACAGTAAGATAAATACATTCACCAACTTTTATTAAAATAAAACCATTTAAACTGGGTGTTCGGATTTATATGTCACTTAGTATATATAATTTCTGCAACCATTCAGTCATAAACGTACTAGGATGCATCTTCACTTGTGTTTTGATATGTTCCCACTTTCGACCGCCACATTTTTGTTTCTCATTGGCAGTACCTTTAGGAAAGGTACTAAACACGATGATTACCGCGTCAATGTACATAAATGAAGATCTAGGCAGCCCCAAATACTGCAAGCTTAGGCAGAGGTGAACAAACTGTTTTTGAATCAAACTTGAAGCAGTGCTTATAGGCAAAACATCCGACAGGGCAGTACTTGAAATTCCTAACCAAATTGACAGTGAGTGTTTTGCTTCAATTTCCTTTTTACGTTTTCGATGTTGTTTTGCCCCGAATTAGTTTTGATATTGCAAACGTAGTTGAAAGGAAAGTCTCAACTTTCAGGACATCCTGTATATAGAACACGTGCCGTATCCACACCGGACAGTGGTTCAGAGGGCACCATTTCGGAGAAAAAAGGAGATTTCTTATTTTGTTACTGGCAAACCGATTCTTATGAGCCATACCTCATTAGAAAGTTAAAGAAATTCTCTTTAAAAAATTGTATCAAAAATTTAAGATGGCGGCATTGTACAGTGCGTCCCTAAAAGGTCTTACAAAATTTTAGCACATAGTGCTGAGTTCAAAATTGCTCCGATTCCGAGATACAGGATGGTAAAAGTTGGAGGATAAACATCCTTTTTTGTTAATTCATGAACATTTCTTAGCGTATTACTTAAAAAATTGGTATCCGTGGGGTTTTTTGTAATGCGAAATCCAAATATGGACATCTTCTCATTGTGACCGTTAGATGGCGCTTCACACTGCACTTCGGACCGTTTTAAATAGCCATAACTTTTTCTCAGTGTGTTTACTTATTTTTTCGTAAAAAGGTGTTTTTATTGATATTTTTAAGCAAAAAAGGCACTCCTGTTAAAATAGGGTAGGGTGAGCAGTTTTCGACAAATTCGCAAATTTCTGCATCAATATAGGTATGATCAGAACTACAAAAACTGAGTATGTGATAGATTCCGTCAAAATGAACAGTTTTTTTTCCTATAATAAAGATGAGAATCAAATTTAGTCAAAATAGCTGTATTCTCAACAATCTTGTGAAGAAGAAGTTATATTATACTAAGTGACATATAAATCCGAACACCCAGTTTAAATGGTTTTATTTTAATAGAAGTTGGTGAATGTATTTATCTTACTGTAAATAACAAGTGAATAAATTTTCAGCCTTATCAGTTGGACATTCCGGTTTTTATACTGCTTTTTTTTTAATTCACTAACGCTCTAAAAATGAATATTTCAGCCGCAGTAAAGAATCAACGTTGGCGGATTTTGGTTCTTGACATCCTTTACGATCGGTTATGATGCCTAGAGTACGGAGACCTGTACGATTTCGTCAACTTAGTGAGTTTGATAGGGGCCGTATAGTGGGACTTCGGGAAGCTGGACTTTCTTTTCGGGCAATTGCAGTTAGAGTGCAAAGAAGTGTAGACACTGTGGTTAGGTATTGTCAGGCATGGCTTCGAGAAGGCCGTACGCAAAGAGCAAGGGACACTGGACGCCGCCGTAGAACAACAGACCAGGAAGATCGCCGCCTAAGATTATTGGCCTTAAGGGACCGTTTCTCCACTACCAAATCCATTGCAAATGAATGGTTTGCAGAACACGGAAGACCTATTGGCATGCCAAGTGTTTACCGACGAATGAGAAGTTTTGGCTTGTTTTCGTACCGGCCACACTGGGTCCTCCCTTCAACTCGAGAACACCGACGTAATCGCCTTGAGTGGTGCAGGCAACGGTCACTCTGGGATCAGGAATGGAACAGTATTGTCCTTAGTGACGAGTCTCGATTTTGTTTAGGCATGCACGATGGTCGTGCCAGGGTTATAAGGCGACGTGGTGAAAGGAGGAATCCACAGTTTTTTGTTGAAAGACATGTTCATCACACTGTTGGAGTTATGGTTTGGGGTGCTATAGCTTATGGTTCCAGCTCACCTTTAATCTTCATCGGAGGTAACATGAACGCGCAGCGTTATATCCACGAAAGTCTAGAACCCCATCTTTTACCCTATCTTGACACCCTGGCAGATCCAACTTTCCAACAAGATAATGCCCGACTACATGTTGCAAGAGTCACAATAGACTTCTTTCAACATAATGATGTCACATTCTTACCATGGCCACCAAGGTCTCCCGACTTATCCCCAATTGAGCACGTGTGGGATATGATGGGTAGGAGATTGCTCAATTTGCAACGTCCTCCTCAGACTCTAGAAGCACTTCGAGAGGAGTTGGTGGTTGCCTGGAATGAGATACCACAGGAGGACATTGACCACCTGATCAGAAGCATGCCTAGGCGCGTTGGAGAATGCGTAGCACGTCAGGGTGCATCCACACATCATTAAAGGTCAAAGGGCTTTAAAGCAGTGCAATCATTTTGAAATTTTTATCATTTACTTATTATACTTCATTAAGTACTTATACAAAATTTTATTAAAATAAAACCATTTAAACTGGGTGTTCGGATTTATGTGTCACTTAGTATATATTAAATGCAGAAGCAGTCTAAGATTAATTTTTACAAATCAAAGCCTAACCTATCAAAAGTGAAAATGAACAGTAAATAAACGTTAAACGTGTAATTAAATAAATAAAAATGTGATTTCGCTTATTGAATGGCTAGAGACTAATGAAAAAATCCTCAATACTGTTTACCCCTTTTACGAAGGCTCTGAAAAATCTTCACTGGCTTTCCAAAACTGTCTGTTGATTCTTGCTCTGAAGTAACAACGGTTTTCTATAAAATTCGTCATATGTTTGACTGTGTTTTTGGTTCTGTTCAAATACCACTCGTTCAACAAGTCTATATTTTTCATTTTGGCTGCTTTCTGTCTCGCACTATGCTCTAAAAATTTGTTTACAAACGTTGCAAATATTTGCAGCTAGTTTCATCTTTATGTGTTGAGGTGTCTTAAACGCACATTTTAAACTTGTTTTTTAAACATCGAAATACCTGCACTTTACCGGAACCCATTAGTGTCAAACTTCTGAAAAAATTGCACCGATTTACTAAAGAATATGCCACGACAACGCAAAGCGACTGTCAACATTCCTTTCAAATCCAGTTGTTTTTCCAAACGTCAACTATACAGGGTGTCCGCAAAGTTGGGGTCTTCCTTTACACGACGTGTAGATCTTGAAAACATAAGCAATTTTTCTTAGTACCATATACATCAATGTCTTAAGGGAACCGAGATAAAGGGCTCTGCAACATCAAAAATATCTGAATACCGTCCTGTAGCCGCGACCCGCCGCGATATCCCAGACTGGTACCGCCTACTAGCTGAACCCGACGACAGAACTGGGTCGGGGGTCGGGGTCAGTGTGTCAGGTCAGTATGCAACCTTCAACAACCAGTGGTTGTTGCATCAACATGACAATAATCCGGACTTTTTGAAGTGCATATTGGTGACAGACGAATCTACGTTCACGCGTAATGGGGTGAATAACTTTCGATTTTAGGCAGAGACGTACTTAGCCCTTCTCGTCAACTGGAGAATGAGTACTTTTTCCTTTATTTTTTTTTTACTTGGTCGCCCTCGTTTCACTACACATTACCTTTGTTATTTCAAGGGTAGTTGTTTTTGAAAAGGAAAACCCCAACTTTGCGGACACCCTGTATTGAACTTAATAGGTCAGAGCGTTCTGTGATTACAGTTACGTCATAGGGCACGTCTAAATTTAAACAAAATTTATGTTGAAAATTGATAAAAAATATTTTTTTGTTTTGAAGTTAAATAAATGCGAGATGAAATAGTGAAGGAAAAAAGATAATGTTGCAAATAGTTTATTTTGGGTTTAAAAAAAATATTTTAGCAGAAAAAGTAAAGACAAATATAATATTTATACTTGGTTACTATTTTAGCGGAAATGGTGCCGTCTCGTGCTGGATTCAAACCCTAATGTGACCCAGCACAGTGGGTGAAGACCTTTACTCCTCAGTTGTTTCCCTTCCAGCGTTCCACCTTCTCCCGTCTCATTACACGTGGTTTACAAAATTGTCCTCGCGCTAATGCATTTTCTACTTCTTGCAAGCTCTCGACGCTCTACCGTTTTGTGCGCCATACATTACAAGGGATCTCATTACTTCTACAAAATTAGGCAATCTTCTTTTAACGCGACATTGGCCTTTTGAGGCAGGCACGTCCGGAGGCATACCATACCGGCTTTGTAACCGCATGTATGACCCTCTTACTGACTTAGAGAAGAGTCAATGCGTTATGGCGATTGCAGGGTTATTCTACTCGTATAGCGACTTACGGATGTACGCACAGCTGGCTAGTTTACATATGGTTGCTAAGAAAGAAGAAAGAAATGTTTTCCTACAGCTTGGGCGACAGTAAATTGTTTGGTGATATACAGGGTGTAAACGTCCAAGAGTCAATAAATTTTTGTCTAAATGGCTTTATAATTTACAACTTTAAGTGCCTTATATCGACCACAATCACCACAATCTTACTAATTTTTATAATCAAATCTAAAGCTTTTTTAAATTGAGTAATTAAAAATAAATGGCATTAAGTTTTTCTAAGTTAAGCCGAAATTTGTAGTCAGTAAGTAAGTTTCATTAAATTAAATATTTAAAACACACATGACAACAGCGCGTCACTCTTATCGAAGCGGCAAACGATCGCAAACGGTAACAGTGGTTAGTTATCGTTTTGGCATAGATAAATTAATTTATCGTTTTTTTGAACAGAGCATCGGGCGTGTTGTTTTGCTTTTGTTCGCGTACGCCGTCGTGTTTATTTACAATGTTCTCGAACCAAGAGTTCGCCGACATGTTGTTAGTTTACGGTGAAGCTCGTCAGAATTCAAATCTTGCAGCTCAAATTTATCGCGGCAGATTTCGCCAACGGGTACACCCAGAAAGAAGGACATTTGTGCAAGTGTACCAAAGACTTCGAGATACAGGAAGTGTTCAGACCAATAATATTCGCACTCGTGAAAGACAGGTTACTGTAGAGCAGATGCACTGATGGAAGTGAGTGACTTGATGCTCATGATGAGATCACAATAACTTACAAAAAATATTACATTTTTCGTACTTGCACGTGGTAGTATAAAAATGGATTCACTTTTAACGGTATTCTTCATCATAAATAATGATTATGAAGATATCTGCGCGTGAAATAATCTTGTATACGAATAACATGTAGCAATGCGGAGTATGTCGCGAATGTTTTCTTACGAATCTTCAACTTTCCATCCCTATACCTCCAATCAAATATCAAGGTGTCGAAAAGACTTAAAAAATCTTTTACGTATTGAATTTTCTTTTCTACAAAAATGCCCTTTTAGATTCTTAGTTTTGTCATTGTAACAGTAAATATCACTACATGTACGTTTACCCTGAAATTTCTGATGACTATACGATCAATTTTAATGCCAAAATTGTACGATTTCTTTATACAAAATCTTCCTATTTCTTCGCCTATACAGGCGGACTTTGAAGTTGAGTCATTAATTTTCAGATAATGATTGTAGAAGGAAGATAAACCAAAATATGTATGTAAAAATAAAAAAAAATTAAAAAAAAATGTTACCTTGTTTTATAAAGTATCCTCCAGACAAGTATTTCAGTGCGGACCTGTATTTGATCGTGCGGTCTTGGAGCACCGGCATGCCGTCCCCTGTGAGGTCTTAAGTCACCTGATTCACGAGCCCTTTGTACTACATTAACAAAGGCACGAGGGGTTGGTTGCACTCGATTGGGAAACCGATCCGCATAAATCCGTGATGCCGCGTAAATAAGAATCATGTCCACAAGTTCAGCATTTTCGTAAACACGTGCCATTTTTGATTTCGTTTGAGCCACGCAACAGACACCACTATTCACTCACGCGTGACCGACTGACACTGACTGTATACAACTGAATAAAATAATTGTAAAAACATCGTTCCAAATTCTTTCGCTTTTTTGTTTCCGATGCGATGAACCGATAAGGCAGATTATATCTGTTGTTGCCAAACACGAGAACATAATATTATTATTGAGACAGGGCCGTACTCAAACTTCCAAAGGGCTATAACTTTGTTACTTTAATTTTACCAGAAAAATGGTAAAGGAAAAAACATTTCTTTTGATCAGATCTACTCACTGTTAAAATAAATGACTCAACTTCGAAGTCACCCTGTATAGGCAAGCAAACAATGGTTTTTCAACGAATAAATTTTAATCCTAGTCGAAGTGGCCTTCGCTTAGAATTTATCATTGGTGTCACTCTCTATCACTTTGGTGTGGCTTTCACCGGAGATAGATACATAGATATATTTTGAACTTTAAGATAAAGCAGACCTTTCTATTCCTATTGTTGTCGCAACCACTTGGACATTTTTAAAATCGGTTGTGTGGGTTCAATTTCGACCATCACTACTTCGATCGATAGTTTTCATGTTTTCATCACGACCGCTTGAGAAGTCATAATTTAAACTCAAAAATGAGAAGGATATTTTTTGCCACAACTCCAATAAACCGTATGCCCAGCTTTACTATAAGTATACTAAGTGACATATAAATCCGAACACCCAGTTTAAATGGTTATATTTTAATAAAAGTTGCTGAATGTATTTATCTTATTGTAAATAACAAGTGAAAAAATTTTCAGCCTTATCAGTTGGACATTCCTGTTTTTATAATGCTTTTTTTTAAATTCACTAACGCTCTAAAAATGAATATTTCAGCCGCAGTAAAGAGTCAACGTTGGCGGATTTTGGTTCTTGACATCCTTTATGATCGGTTACGATTCCTAGAGTACGGAGACCTGTACGATTTCGTCAACTTAGTGAGTTTGATAGGGGCCGTATAGTGGGACTTCGGGAAGCTGGACTTTCTTTTCGGGCAATTGCAGTTAGAGTGCAAAGAAGTGTAGACACTGTGGTTAGGTGTTATCAGGCATGGCTTCGAGAAGGCCGTACGCAAAGAGCAAGGGGCACTGGACGCCGCCGTAGAACAACAGACTGTGAAGATCGCCACCTAAGATTATTGGCCTTAAGGGACCGTTTCTCCACTACCAGGTCCATTGCAAATGAATGGTTTGCAGAACACGGAAGACCTATTGGCATGCGAAGTGTTTACCGACGAATGAAAAGTTTTGGCTTGTTTTCATACCGGCCACACTGGGTCCTCCCTTTAACTCGAGAACACCGACGTAATCGCCTTGAGTGGTGCAGACAACGGTCACTCTGGGATCAGGAATGGAACAATATTGTCTTTAGTGACGAGTCTCGATTTTGTTTAGGCATGCACGATGGTCGTGCCAGGGTTAGAAGGCGACGTGGTGAAATGAGGAATCCACAGTTTTTTGTTGAAAGACATGTTCATCACACTGTTGGAGTTATGGTTTGGGGTGCTATAGCTTATGGTTCCAGGTCACCTTTAATCTTCATCAGAGGTAACATGAACGCGCAGCGTTATATCCACGAAGTTCTAGAACCCCATCTTTTACCCTATCTTGACACCCTGGCAGATCCAACTTTCCAACAAGATAATGCCCGACCACATGTTGCAAGAGTCACAATAGGGTTCTTTCAACATAATGATGTCACATTGTTACCATGGCCACCAAGATCTCCCGACTTATCCCCAATTGAGCACGTGTGGGATATGATGGGTAGGAGATTGCTCAATTTGCAACGTCCTCCTCAGACTCACATTATTGAAGATCAAAGGGCTTTAAAGCAGTGCAATCATTTTTAAATTTTTATCATTTACTTATTATGCTTCATTAAGTACTTATACAAAATTTTATTAAAATAAAACCATTTAAACTGGGTGTTCGGATTTATATGTCACTTAGTATATATATGAGAAGAGATTCAGAATAAGTACATGTTATTTTTTGTTCATCGTTTTTGAAAATCTGAAGCCATTTTGCAAAGTATCTTGCGAATGCTGGGGTTAATTCTCAGAACTTATTTTCCGATTTATCAATATTATTATCGAATACCTACTGCCGAAATTCGTAGTTGCTCTAAAAATAAATTCGACACCTAAGCATCATGGCCCCTGAGAATTTGACAT